CTTAGTTTTAATAAAGGTTATAGGTCGTATTACTCCTTTCGGCGATTGAATCGTACGCCAACAACTATACTTGTCTTGTAAATATGTCTCAAGTGGGTTAAAGCAGTGATTCTTATTCGGCAAACCTCGAGTCATCAACTGCATATGTGGGCTTTGAGTTGCAAAACACTCAGAATCTCTGGATTAAAACATCAATCATACAATTCTTAACATAATGGTGTGATACCACAAAACAAGCATGTGACGCCCTTATAGCATGCCGTTTATACATATACATACATATATATATATATATATATATAAGTAATAAAGAAAATTACATAAATTAAGTATGATGTAAGGATAGCAATGTCAAAAAGTACAGAAACAAATTAGGGATGAATAGAAAAGACTACAAAAAATCACTACATCAGCTTAGTTTTGGGAATTTTTTATTACTTGTTTCCCCTCTTTTTTAAAACTATTTTATTGAAGTAGGTTGATAAGTGAACATTTGTTTTATTTTTATAATTCGATGATAATGCATATTGTTAATATATCATATCAGTTTTGTAAGTTTCTCTAATTTTGGATTACGCTGGGGGGCCAGTGAGTTGGAATGGTTCCTCTAGGATTGTATGAATACCCCGGAGTGCTGGACTGATGCTAAAGGGATATTAACCGAACCCACACCTTTCAATTTCATCCCAACTCACTTTATGCTAGGGTCATATTGATTAATAGATAGGACATCATACAGGTCCCAGGCCATGAAGGATGATACCACGCATACATACATATTTGCCAGGCTCAGCTATGCTGAAAATTTGAAGAAAAGTAGACTGCTATATAATATTTTGATAATTAAGAAACTAGTGTTTTTAAACTCAGACGTTAATAACATGTACACAGATCTGTCAATTGCATAAATACCTGATCTCCTTGATACCTTGAATATTAATTTAGATTAGTCGGTATTTATTTATATATGTTTACTGAACTTGGTTTGGCAGATATCATATTTGTATAATAAAAACTCACAAACGTTCGCTATATAAGAACAATTTGTGCTGCTATCTAGCGACCATAAATGAAACTGTTACTTATGAAACATAGAAATAATATATGCTTATAAACTGAACTCACTGTTAAGTAGTAGTTTTCCTTTTTATTATTCCTCACAAAAATGTGTGTGGTAGAAGAAAAGAATAATATTATTGCTATACAAGCTGTGAAACATTCGATAATGGCAATTGGGTGATAAAGCTATAACTCAACTGTAACAGTTATTTGTAAGCATCACAGTGTAATAGATTGAATGCGGTGGCCAGTGGTTTTTGTGATATGAACAAAAGAAATCATCATATTATTCAGAATTAGGTGATAAAATTTCACATTTAACAAAGATTTAAAATGAAGATAATAAAAGCTTGAATGTTTTTTGTGCTTTAAAGTTTTATTTCTAAAATTTTCGCATACCAAAATAAAATGAAATAAAGCATAATAAAGATATTCTTCTATTTAATGACTGGTTACTAATTAAAAAGAAAAAAAAACATAGTTATTTGATTACCAGTAGAAGAACGATCTTTTCCTTTTGTTGGTGGAAATTAAATGTCAGTATAAAACTAAAAAAATAAGCTTGCATGCATCATTTCTGACGGACAATACAGCTGAGGCATCGTTAGGCACTAGCACATGAGGCTCGTACCCCCGATTCAATTTGACAGGGCCCCGAATTCCCAGTTGGTGTCTTGAAAAATCAGAATAATAAAATCATGATTGATATCATACTGAAACGCCGAAAATTCCTTCCCCTATGGGCCCGAGCCCCGAATCTTTTAGGTACCTAGCGACGCTTCTGTAAACAGGTAATGTATATATGAAAAAAAAAATGAATTTCAATATTTGTAAAATTTTAGATATATTTTTAAATTCAGTTGCGATCGTGACAAAAACCTATTTTATAAGTATCTAAAAGGTTTTGAATCCGTTTTACTTCACCCTTTAGTAACCCAAATTAACTTAGGTATGTGAATAATGTTTCGTCGAATTCATAAGTTCTTTTCACTTTCACCTCTAATAAAAAAGAAAATAAATCTTTAACAAATGTATACGATTTTATAAGTGATATTTATGGCACATCTAGCAGAAATGAATGAGTATTATAAATCCGAACTCTACTTATAGTAGGTGCAGGATAACGAAATGCAGTATTTATTATATCGCTTTATTAATGAAATACAGTTTTATGTAATATTTTATTTCTTTACTTTTATGTCTGTTGAATCTTTCTCAAATCCTAATGGAATGAAAAGAAGATATCTATGTAAGATGATTTTTTTTATATATTTGCTATCTGACAGATCCAACATTTTCTATTTATTTAAACGTCCTGTATTTTGAACGATTATCAAAATATTACACTTTTTATTCAATGCGCGATGGTATTTTATTCGTTTGACAGCTTTAAGTGTAGAAACTTTCTCTGTGAAAATGAAAACCTCTCCAGGGAATTACGCTGAAGAAGTAACTTGAAAAGCGTTACATTACAGTGATATTCATCCAAAAAAAGGAATACTTGGTATGGAACGGATTTGTTGGGGACTTAAATTACTAGTTGCATTTTTTAAAATTCTAATCTGCAATCTTTTAATTTGAAGAGCTGAAGAAAGTATATGCTCAACTAGTTAAAGCAGCATTTTTTAAACTACATGATACATACAGTTATCTTTTCCTTTCAATCGTTTTCAAAAGGTAACGTTGAATTTCAAAAATACCTTTTATCTATAGAAACTGGCGGGAAAATAATATATGGTTATTATAACTCTAATATTTGTTTTTCTTCACGCTATAAATTTCTCAAAATAAATTAAGTTAACATCGAAAAAAAACTAATTTACTTCTTACCTCACGTCAGTCAAGCTGTCTTCAAATTCAAAGTAAAAAAGATTTACTTGTACTTAGCCTTATCGTTAGTGTTATATTTATAATTCGATTTACACGTATGTATAGAAAAGGTAGATTTTGTGCAGAATTATGTGAGAGAGTTTCTGTTTCTTATGTTGATCCAAAAGAAAATTCAGCACCGCCTAAACCGAGAACATATAATTAAACGCCTGATAACAAAGATATTTATTAGCAGGCTTACAAGTTTAGATAAGCACAACATCATTTTACAACATTATTTTATGATAGATCAATCCATTCTAATCGGTAGAAGTTTTTATTTTATAGAATTGCATACTCCTGATTATACCGATATATTAGTGTAGCTACATTGTTTACCGAGTTAATGTTTATTTCTGAACTGTGTACGTAATTTGCTTATATGAAACGTACTATTTTTTTTTCCATTCCAAGGTTTAATCTTAAACATACTTCTTTTTACTTGGTAAGTGTAGATGTGTTGGATAAAATATGGAATAAACAATCAAAAGAGATTGGTTAAACGTATCGGGAATGGGTCAGCCCTCTGATAGAGCTGCACATATCGAAGCTAGTGAACCGAGTTTGAATTCGAGCGTTACACAAAATATTCCCCTCACTTTAAGTTGCGGGTGCGTTACAAGAGTGACAGTCAATTTCTTAGAGTGAGTGATAAGTAGTAGGGTACTGCTGACTGACTGCCTTCTTTCTGGTCAATAGTTCAAAATTAGTCGACCGGGACAGATAACCATATTAGCTTTACCTTAAATACAAAATATAAATACTTAAACGTATCATGGTTTAAAATTAACATCCAAATTCAAATATGAAATTGTCTCTATTAACTTTAAGCCTAGTAGTTGAACAAAACTATACATAATATAGTTTTGAAATTAAGCAATAAACCCTGAAACCTTTAAAATATTAGAGATATTAATTAGAAAATACTAAAAGGGTGTCATATTTACAAGGCTGAAAAAAAATGTTTTAAGAAATGTACCAGGGCAAAAGCAATAAAATATTTTTATAAAAGTTGCCAGTGTTATATAACCTGATATATATTGTTACAATGTGTTTCAAATACATGATGGTACAGGTTGTATTTTTTAATGTTAAGTCATTGGAAAATAAACTATGTTTTAGTCGGGAATATAAGGAGATTTCTAGTGAACGAAGTTAGCATAAATTAGTTTAATTGTCTTTGGGAAATGCTGCCACAACTCAGTCAGTGTCCTTTGTATAAATATATGATTAATTCCTGGCATCTAACAGTAATACATACAGTTCTCAAGTTAAGTATAAGTACGCACACAACATTTAAATATTTATATAACAACTATTACTAGTGAAATAACTGGCTAAATACTGTACCTAGTGAGTTAAATTCGTTTCATTACTTCTGTTCAGTCTTACTAACTTTACATTATATTAATTGTATTTTTTTGTTGTTGTTGTTTTTGCTTGTAAATAAATATGGAAAGCAAAAAAAATTATAATCCATTTTCTGCTAATCGGACGAAGCTGTAAATACTTCAGTAATTAATAACAATAATAATTCAAGTGATTTGGTAGTTTTGTTGGTATAAGAGTTAGTATTTCGCTTGTTCTGTTCCCATATACTAAGAATGAAAAAGTAGGGTAAACATACAAGAGTTTACAAATGTTCGAACTGTGGCGACCCCTGTCAGAAACTGAAGAAACATAAACAAAATTTACTAACAACACAATTCAGTAAACACCATCTATTTTGTAAAAAATAAACACAAACAAATAGTGCAGTCTTATAACTATAGCTACATTCTCGATATTGTCATCTCTCTTTTTCTTGAAGTTTTTTCAATGCTCTTGGAGTAATTGTTTTTAAATAAATGAAATAACAAATACGGTATACGAGAAAACACACATCACCCACTGCCGTGCATCTAGACAAATAGAGAGTATTATTAACAAGAACAGCTGGGGGTATATGAATAATCTAATAAATAATACAGTATATTAAACTATCGCCACATTTTATTTAGATAAAAAACATATACTAAGTATGAAGGACAGAAATGAAAGTTTGATTAGTAAAGTCAAATAAGGTTATTGGAAAGCAAACCAGAGTAAAGGTGAATAAAATATGACTACAAATATAAAATGATATTATATCTATAACATGAACTTCATAATTATGCTAGATATTTTGGATTCGAAAAGCTATGTAGTTATAAAGGTGTAGAATTTTACGCTTAATAATGAACATGTTGAAACCAATCACATTCGTGTTATTGCAGAATTTAAACTTAGGAATATTAGAAAAAGATAAAAATTTATATTTTTATTGAATACACTTTTCTAAGTAGCCGTATGTTGTTTACGTGAAAAAAGGTATATCAGAATATATTGTCTTGATAGAAAAATGATGAAGGCTTTATAACAAATTATTTTGTGAGAAGTAAAGGCCATTGGTTTAATATTAATTACAATTTAAAATGCGGATAATATTTTTCTTAAATAGAAAATCCATCTCAAGGCATTATCTTTAGGAACATGCATCTTGTTAAGTGCTATTGTATATAACTCTAGCTACACAGTCCGACCTTCTAAACATTAAGAACAAAGTATTCGTAGCTATTTACAGTTATGGTAAACTTCAAAGTACTGATGAAACCAAAATTGATGTTTGCTGCTAAGTGTTCTGTTTAATATTAAAACTTTGAGCACCAGTACCTCAAAAAATCACCAGAAACACTAATAAGCCAATTTAAAAACGAAACAAGCCCGAACTTGACCGAGTACTTAGTGTGTCTGGCTGCAGGTCTAAGAATCAAGGTACGAGAAATGGGTCCGCTCCACATTTTCAGTTATGGACACTATAAAAATGACAGTCAATAGTATCATTGGGTTCCAAAAGCCGGACTTATCCCTTGTGGCGGTGGGTGCTGCTTTCCCTTTGACCAGTAGCTCAAAATTATGGACGACTATACTTGAACCCTAAATGTTTTTCGTAAGGATTTTTGAATACGTTTTCACTGTTAAAAAACAGTTACACGGAAAGCTCTGAAAGTAAATATGTTAAAACAAAGAAAGAAACAATCACAACAGGAGAAACGTATTAGGGTGATAACTTTTAGAATTAATAAAGTGTAGCATCATTCATCAGTAACTTCGCAGAGTTGGTTTACGTGAAACAATAACGTATTTATAAACAGGGATATGTGTGTGTTTATGTTTTTCTTATAGCAAAGCCACATCAGGTTATCTGCTGTGTCCACCAAGGAGAATCGAACCCCTGATTTTAGCATTGTAAATCCGTAGACTTACCGCTGCCCCAGCGGGGGATAAACCGGGATATCCAATAATATCAACAATACCAAATGCTAACATCTATAATATTATTTATCATAAGTTTTGATAATTTCCTTTTAGAATATATCAACAATTTTTAGTCCCTTGTTAAAAAAAATCGTATTTTGTTTTAAATAGAAATTATTATGATGTTATTAACAGGCTGACTCATGGTATTCTGAAGGCACTGATAATCTTTTTGCTAATAGTAGTACCGCAATAGCTTGATGAACGTAAAGAAATGTATCGCTGACTTAATCTCAATTATCTGACTTCATCTGAGTTTGAAGAAAACGAGCACACACAATGCAAAAATAGAGTAAAAAGTAAAAAATTACTTGTACCTGATGATGACAAAACCTTGTCGAAACGTTGTACATTTGCTGTCATGTTAAACTTATATTAACGTTTTTCTTCATTACCCATTTAAGCCGTCTCCAGCCATTATTAGAGTAAAAAGTAATCCTTACTCAAAACAAAGCAATCAAATTGACGTGCTCACTGGACGACAGACAGCGTTTATATTAGATGTAGACTCTTTCTTTTTAGATTAAGACTTTTTCCAGACTGTATAACTTGCTACAGGCTAATAGAGCATAGCATTGTCTACAAGATTCTATGATGTCATTCTTCTCAATGCGTTTGCGCTACTTATGTCACTGATGATCGCTCCAATAGAAAAATAAGACAAACCTCAAGGCATCACCTGACCTACCAGTAGAAAATATCAATGTTTTACTTTAAATAGTATATTCTACTATATAATAATCTTTTCCACGAGAAACTGCATGTGATAACATATGGGAATGACCAATAACAACAGGTCCTTAAAATGAAAGGAATTTAGCCTTTTTCCTTCACAACGTTCTAATGCGAAAGCCATATACAGAACTAAAACCGTGTACATACGAAAGAGTATGTAAATTCTAGATGAACATGAAACACTCACCTTACGAAATTAAAGAACACAGGAAACACTTTCCATCCCAAAACACAGTGTAATAACACGAACCTGACGTAATTTGTTTTTGAGTTATCAAGAAAAACAGTGTTCAGAAAAATTTACACCACCATATTATTCAATGATACATATTATACACATGTTCAACGTTAGGAACACATTACTGTGTTTTAGATATGTCCAAATACTAAACTTAAGTGTACAAAGTTACACTTTGTCAGTAAATTATAAAGTTCAAGAATGTTCTCAAATTTAATGAATTTACGCTAGTATTTGAATGAAACTGTCTCCTCCTCGACTCCTGCACTTCGTTGTCTCTAGAATAGCTTAAGCTTTTACAATACATAAAACATTTCTGTTTTGATTTTTAAAGAAAAGTCAATAATTATCTCAGATTTCCCGGCATGGCCAGGTGGTTAGGGCACTTGACTCGTTGGTAAAAGAATAGCCCAAGAGTTGACTGTGGGTGGTGTTGACTAGCTGCTTTCCCTAGGGACGGCTAGCGCAGATAGCCCTCGTGTAGGTTTGCGAGAAATTCCAATTTTGTTTGTAATTAAGCAAGTTAATTCATTGAGGGGGACGATCCCCCCTCCCTCGGTTCCAACGCATATGGACATATTTGAAGGGTACTATATTCAGTTTGTTTGAGGTTAAGCACAAAGCTACACAATGGGCTATCTGTGCTCTGCCCACAACGGGTACCGAAACCCGGATTCTAGCATTGTAAGTCCGCAGACATACCGCTGTGCCACTGGTGGGCTCGCGAAATTCCAAACAAACGAACTATCTCATATAGATTACAAGTACGACTTATGGACGTTTTCAACCCATTTTTTTATGAATTCCT